GAACAAGCTTCCTCAGATCCCTTGCAGGAAGGAGAGCCACCCCCGCCGCTACCACCACCGCCTCCTGATAAAGACCTGTTTCAGGCAGAGGGTTGCCCAAGTGAAATTGAGCTCACATCAGACATATACATCGCACCTGCGGGTGAAGATGACCCCAGCGCTGGTGGAGAGCCTGTGCCACCACCTTATGTAGAGCAGTTTCCACAGCAGATAGTCATTCCTTTTGTAGATACAGTAGCCTGTCTCTTAGATCCACTAACAGCTTCACTAAATTCAGGCCAGTTTACTAGTATTCTAGATCCATCTGCAGATGATGCAGAATGTGACCCTGACAGAATGGATACTACAGAGCAACTGAAATCAACTGACCCAGGTTTTATTATGTCAGGTAAGAAAGTCAAGATATTTCTGAATCCTTCCTATTCCACATTGTAATATTTTAGCTCTGTAAGTAGTAAATCATTTCCATCTCCTTGGGTGCATTTATGTTGGTAAGAGCTGGCGATAAGTTAGCAGGAAAGAGGTTAGTTCTCCAGCTATAGCTGAACTAGAACTTCCAATAGTCTCAGCCATTACAGTCAATACTGAGGGATGTTGGATATTGTAGTTCAGCAATATCTGGAAGGCTACAGGTTTCTCCACTCCTGCAATATGGCTTTGGCCAAGAAAGTGCCTCAAGGACTGGAACTTATTTAAATGCAAATAGCCATGCCAGTGCAGGGTTGAAATGAAAGTTACTCTTGTTTTGGGGTGTTACAGGCCCACAGCACTTGTCAGGCAAATTGTGCATGTGTGGAATTTTTGCCTGTGGGATGCTTCCAGATGTGCAGTGGATTGTGAATAAGCCCTAAAGTTTTCTTTGCACGAGTTTGCCCTAGTTTCCTGTTCCTGTATTATATTCTTTTTGTACAGACGGAGAAGCAGCATGGGATGAAATTCAGCAAGGGAACACTGGTATAGAAGATGCTTGGCCTTTCATTTTCCTACCAGAAGACTTGCTCACAGTAAACTGCACAGCTTGAATCAAAATTGCATACATGCCCTGGCAGCCGAAGGAAAGTGAGGTGGTGACTGTGACTAATTTTTTTTTAAACATAGTAGACTCAACTGTGGCATTGACATGGTTTTTGCATTTAAAGGAAATGGTGGTGGTTGCCTTCGCTTGTCCCATTAGGTCCAATCTTCTCCAGATGCCTACAGAAGGTGGATTAGTTGCTTCTTACTTAGAAACATGGGATTGTTGTAACTGGAGGCCTAGCTTTCTTCCCTGGCAGGACTTCTTCCAAATGATTTCTTGCCTCTGTAATAAGTGTCTAAGCCACCACTGTTCCCAGCTGGAGAAAGATTAATGTTTTTTTATCCATTGACCTCTGATTGCAAAATCTCCCAAGAATCACGTTCTGTTAGAGAGATAGGTAGGTAAGAAACAAAAGCATGTTAACAGAAGAGAGAATGCTGAAGGGTTAAAAGGATCCTGAAGCTTGTCATGGATGGATTTTTCAATATTTTAAGCTGCCAGTCATTTGAGTTCAAGTTTATCATCCAACAGCTTTTGCATTGACTCACAGGAGAGCTGATTAAAATGAATCCATACAGGACCCTAAGGCTTCACCTGTGGGGCAAGCCTGTAAAATCTAGCTGACTGATGTTATGTTGACAAAAGGACTCTGGCACATGTTGAATGTTGGCAATTTCTTGTAACTAATGAATGAATGAATGAGACTTGAATTGAAAATGTGCCCTGATTAGCCGAAACAGCATTTTTTAAAGCTGAACTGCAGCTTCATCCCCAGAAGGCACTTTTGCTGTTGTCCCTCTATTTTCAGCATACCAAGGTCCAATTTTTTGCCCCTACAGACTCTCTCTTCTTTGTAACATGCTTCTTTGCGGCATAAAGTTGTTTGTAAAGATATGTAGTTCATACATCCTAGTAGATGGTCTTTCATGCCAGCAAATTTTTCTTTAAATTTTTATTTTATAGCCATGGCAACAAGCGAACCAGGACAGCCACCACCATATTCTAATGTGTGGACTCTCTATTGTCTAACTGATTTGAAACAACAAGGTCGTAAGTCACCACCACCACCTCCACCCCTTCCACCTGTTGGAACTGGTGCTACTGTTCCCCAAGCAACCCTATTCATATCTAGTGGTAAGGACCAACCGCAGTATCTACAGCCGCAGATGATACAACAAGGTCAACCACCACAAGTGTCCTCTCCAACTTATGTGATGATGGAAGATGGGAAGAAGGGAAATGCACCACCTTTCATTTTAGTGGGCTCTTCTGTTCAGAATAAACAGGACTGGAAACCTATCCCAGGTCATGCTGTTCTAACACAGCCGGACGCTGCTGGTACTGTGAGGAGGTTCGCTACAATCCCGGTACCAATCGCCAGGGCAGCAGATCCAAAAATGGCCAACCCCAATTTTAACCCTGCACAAGATAGTGGCAGGCCGCCAACTCCAGTTTTTCTTTCAGTTGCCATACCTCTGGAAGATGTGATGAATGGGAAGAATGGCACAGGAGCTGGGGATAAAGCAGCTTTTGCAGGCAGTTATGGTATAGCAGGAGAAATCACATTTACAACTGCCTCTGTACGCAGGACAGAATAGCAAAACGGTGAGTGGATGTTCAGGCTTTGGTAGAGACCCTGAAGCTTGATAAAGCTTTAAACGCACCTTTCAAACATGGCGTTTTTCAGATGTGTAGCCTTTGACTGAGGATCAGTCAAATATGGACAGTAAACGTGGTTGGGATTACGTGAGATGAAACCTGACACATTTGTCTGAAGCGGGCTCGTAATAAAGATGTTCCTTGGTATACTTGCTCTTCTGCCCTTACGACATTTTTGATTATTTGTTCCCAGATGTCATTCCCAGATGTCATTCTAAGGGCACATGCCAAAGAACAGTGCCAGATTTAAGCAGAGCAGGAAGTTTTTCTTTTTCTTTTTGCAACTGAATGGTATTTTTTTCTTTGGGGAGCAGGGCTGCACAAGATGTGACAGGGTGCTGACATGATACCATGTTGAGTTCCTTCATTTTCTCTTCTTAGGGCAGGGACTGAAGCAAGTGCAGCTGCTTTAAGATGAACAAATATCAGAATAAAGTGAATTTAGAGAAAATGCCCCTTTCCAGAACGAAAGCTATAAAAATATTTCTAATTTTATTTATATCCCACTTTGTGTAAAAGATTGCAGGACAGGATATATAATGCTCCCTCTTATTTTTCTGACAAGAATCCTGTCAGGTAGGTTGGGCCAAGAGAGATGGTCCAGAGCCATCTCAAGAGCATCCATTAGATTAGTGTTTGTCAACTTCCACAACTTTTAAGATGTGTGGATCTCAACTCCCAGAATTCCCTAGCTGTATCTTGCCACGGTTGAGATTCCTGCACTGGATTAGTACTAAATTTCTTAAAATCTCACCTTTTATATATAATTCAAGGGTGCAAACAAACCTAGTACTATTGCCTCCTAATTTTCCCACAATTCTTAAGGATAGGGTTAAGGAGGAACAAGAACCTGGATCTCCCTGCTCCAAGACTACTTTTACCATTATTCTAATGCAGGGGTGTCAAACTCGCGTTGTGATGGTGAGTTTGAAGGTGCACCTGTCTGCAACCTATTCAAGCAGCCATATTGTTTTCCTGACATCAGGGCTGCCTTCCCAAGCTGCGCCTTGATTGCAGGAAATAAATTTTGGTTGGGTTGCAGAAGAGCACTCTATTTGAACCTCTTTTCACTGCCTTTTTAAAACCTTGGCTAAATCTGCTTCCTTTGAATTAAAAACATGTGACCTAGCTTTCAACAGCAGCACTGATACATACAAACCTTTTTTGGTGCACTTTTATCATTGCCTTCCTTTCCTTTCATGCATGGTGCACTTTATCAGAATTAATGGCAGACTCCTGAAAACTTATGCCCAAGTTGTAATAATAAAGAATAGCTCTTCCGGCTTGATTTTCCTGCCACTATTACAGAGAAACGTAGAGCTATTTGTAAAACTAACCGAAGGCCCCCGTTTATGGCATGTTTCTGTACCATATTGACGGCAATAGGGTTCTCACATTTATAGGACACTGGATTATGACCAACTGATTATATGTTTGCTGTATTGGTCAGAACCATTCAAGCCACACTTGTTCAGAATCAGTGCCTATTTGTGATGCAGATTTCAGGCTAACTATGACCTTGTCATTCCATAGCGTATGTATGTGTATGTATGTATGTATGTATGTATGCATGTATGTATGTATGTATGTATTTATGTATTAGACTGAAGATGTGGTACAGTGGCTAAAAAGATAAAATGGAAATTTTGATTATAAAGCAGTGATTTTTGAAGATTAAAACATTCCAAAACCACAATTAAGGTTTAGTGGGTTGAGCCGTTGCTAAATGTACTGAGCTGATGTTTTTTTCCTCCCAGATTGAGAAGAGGTGCTGTCCAACATTTCACCCCAGAACGGAAAGCTGCATCTTTAATTTAAAATTGATTAACTAGTACAAGCAATAAAGCAGTACAAGGAATCTGAATCTAAAGATATTTTTTCCCTATGGCTTAAGACCAGTAGCCAAGTAGCATAAAACTAAAACCAGGAGTTTCCTTATGTTGATTTCCTGTACAAACTGAAAATTTAAAAATGATTGCTAGTAAAAATGTGGAAACTTTTACTTCAGACACCTTCAGCAGAAATATATTATTAGATCATTTATTAGATTTGTGGAATTTTGAAGCCTTGTCTTTATAATGTATGAGTAAGACGAGAGAGAGATATCTGCGTACTTTGGAGTAGCAAAATAGAAAACAGCGTTTCAAGAATGAGAATGGGGGGGGGGGGGCAGGACCCCAGATGGAACCAGAACACCCTTGCAGGCTCCTGAGCCACTCTCAATGCCATCCTTCCAACACTGGGCCAAGAAACCAACAACAACAACAACAACAACAAAGTTTTGTTTGTAATCTACTGAAAGCAAAGAATCAAACGGCACCTCTCACCGGACAGCGAAAGCCTTTATTTATTAGCAATAAAATATTCAGTTAACACTATTTCCAAACTACAGTTAAATTATACAAGAGCAGCAATCTCTCTGAAAATTCTCTACTCCACATTGTACAAATATATAATTTCATAAAAGTTAAAGCACCCCAAACATAGGGGTAAATTTGCTCTGTACAGTAGTCTCTCAACTGCTTTTGAAATGTACACACTTCCTTCTAGGGTTTGCTATGACAGCATAGACCCAGGAACATCTCTCTTCTTTGTAATGTCCCAACTTAATCTCATGTAGTGCAGAACACTTTGTGTGTGAATAAAGACTCTGTGGCCTTTCCAGGGTCGAACCACAGCTCCCATCATTCTTGACCACTCAACATGCTACCAGGGCTGAAGTCCCACAATATTCGGACAACCACTAGTCCCATATCATATATTAGTGCACTGCAGGGTTTTGTTTTGTTTTAAATACTTATTTTAGTTCAAATTAAATTTTTAAAGATTTAAATGGCTCTGAATTCCTTAAAGATAGCATGTTAATAAAACTTGAAAGAGAAAATTCAAAACACTGCACTAAATAGGAGAAGATTGCTAAGTGATTTTATGCATTAATCCAATTTTAATTAAGTAGTAGTAGCTTGATGCAGAGAGTAAAAAATAAAGTTACAAATGAATTATCTATGATCCTGTATTTTATTAATTAATGGAATGCCGTCTTCAGGAAGTTGACTAATTCTTCCCCAAAGTGTCATGCTCTTCTCATGCTTTAAGTCATAGAGTATTATAAGTCACGGATGATCATTTGTTACTGGGTTGAGAAGAAATGCCATGTTTTTCATTATATACTACTATAATTATTATTCACCAAAGAGAAAGTCAAAACTCAAAGGCATTTTAAACTGATCTTTAAGTTCACAAATATGAGTAGCAATCTCCCTGTCTCTCCAAAGTACAGCACCAGTGATTATGTGCAAATACATCTCACATTCTAGGGAGAATGCCAAAAAACCCAACGCTCCCTACAATAGCCTTGAGCTACGTTGTGGCAGGACCACCAGAACCGTATTCAATTGCAACCTTTCAAGATTTTAATTTTTTTCTAAGAATATAGGCATAAAAAAAAAACACTGAAAACTGATTTAAGACTTATGTTAGGCTCAGAATTTCCAATGCATTTTAATAAATATCCGGCAAGTTGAAGTAGTTTCTTTCCCAGTAGTTCCCAGAATAAATCCAGTCATGTCCGCCAGTGTGAGGATTAGGACCTTGATGAAACCACCTGAAAGAGAGAAACTGTTTAAGGAAAGGAAACAGGTGTATATTCTTATTTATGAGAAAATTTAAACTGCCATAGGCCCTGAATAAATGGAAAATTCAGTAAATAATTATCTGTTGAAACAAAAGGGAAAATACAAAGGAAAGCTGAGTGACATTTACTTTGAATGAAAATGTGCAAATGAATTAACAATGTACTGTGGTAAAGATAAAAAGCCCTTAGGCTAGTCCTCATTTAGTAACTGCCTTGGATAAGTGATTGGAAATACAACAGTAATAAACTGTAATAAAAAAATCAATTTTCCAACCAAAGCAGGCATTTACAACAAAAGTTTTCGGTGTCAATTTCAGGCACAGCAGAGGCCAGAGGCTTCTAATGAACTAATTCAGTTCACAGAGCTGAGCTTGTTAACTGTGGGTTAGTGCTGTTGTGGGAAGCCTGGACTGCGAAGAAAAGTAGCTCAGGAAAAGATAGCTTGTTTAATGTCTATGGAGATTCTCAACCATCCAGGTCATGGTTGTCCCAAAGGTGCTTTTTTCAAGCGGCAACTGGACTTGTTTTTCTTTGAAGATGTTTGGCTTCTCATTCAAGAAGCTTCTTCAGTTTTGACTGGATGGTGGGGAGGATTTATATTCCTTGCAGACAGCTGGTCATTTGCATTCTTTTAGCGAGTCATTGAGGCCACTTGGAGTGTTTATCTGTGTCTGCAGGGTCACCCGAGTAGTGCAAATGGGTGTGGAGCCTTCTTGGAATGGCTGAAAAAACAAAGTCCAGTTGCCTCTTGAAAAAAAGCACCTTTGGGATAGTTTGTTTAAGCAATCTCTCTGCCTGAGGAAATAATAAACAAACAAACAAAAAATAGGCACAGGACACTGTACCAGAGAATTTAATCTAAATCAGGGGTGAAGTGTAAAATTTGTTACTACCGGTTCTGTGGGCGTGGCTTGGTGGTGGTGGGTAATGGGACTGGGTGGGCGTGGCCAACTTTTTTTTAAAAAAAAACTTTTCAAAGCATTTTTTCTAATGCTTTGAAAAGCCTCTGCTGATCAGGCAACTCAGCTGAGATCATCAGAGAGGCTTTTTAAAAAATGTTTTGAAAAGCCTCTGACGATCCCAGCTGAGCCGTGCGATCATCAAAGGCTTTTTTTTACTTTTAAAAGCATTTTTTCATCGGAAGAAGTTGTAGAAAAAATGCTTTTAAAAGTAAAAAAAAAAAAAAGCCTCTGATGATCGTGCGGCTCAGCTGAGCATTGTGGGGGGGCACTAGGGTTTTTGCTACCGGCTCTCCAAACCACCTGCCGCCATTGCTACCGGATCAGGTGATCTGGTCCGAACCGGGAGCATTTCACCCCTGATCTAAATGAAACAATCTTTGCAGAGTATCTCAGTCTCATGTTCACTTGATCACCGCTTTGCTTAATAACTGAGTGGTAGGAACCAATGGAAATCACTAAATGAGGACTACTTGTATTTTATCAACTGGTAGGAAGCACGGGAAGGAGGATATTTTGGCAAAAAGTCTGTTGTGGAAGAAACTTTCCCTTGGGAGTGCTGGTTTTACTTTTCCTTCTTATCCACACACTTACCCAAAGAGCTGGTAGGGCCAGAAAAATGGTCAGCTCTGAGGCTGGAAGAGAGTTTTGGAAGCGGCCTGAAAAAGCCCATCTCTTACTTTGGTCCCCATTGAATTGTGGCAGATACGGGACCAACTAGTGAATTTTAAGCTAGTGATTCAGTGGAAACCAAAGAAGTGAGTTTCTTCTCACATTGTGAGAACAGAATCTGGTTTCAATAAAAAATGCATCCATTATTAAATAGAGAACCTGATAGGACAACAAAGATAATCCTCGGAAGAAATAGTAGAAGGACTAGTCCATCAGCAAAGAAAAATATTCACAATAATATCAGCGGAATGGGAAACAAATGAATTTGATAAAAGGAACTTTATTCATACTTATGGCATCACTTGTTATTTTTAGGCATTGCAAATAATTTTAAATCTTCAATGCAAATCCAAACATGTCAGCGTAGTAACAAAAATAATATTACAAGAGTCTGGGCCACTGACTGACTTTTAGAAAAAGCAAAACATAATACACTGAATTTAAGAAAGTATTAATAAATAGCTAAGAGTACAGCCTGTCGAGAAATTCATGCCAACTTTTTTAATATAGCAACTTTTTTTAAAATATGAAGGCAGAACGGCACATAAAGCTAATAAATTGAAATTATGTTCTGACATGGAAATAAGCAGAAAAACATACAGAGGCAAAAAAAAATATTCAAGAGTGTTTATAATAAAGTGCTAATTTATAAATTAGTCTATCTCATATACTAGAAAATAAAAAGCCATGCATTCAGCAACTATTCAAATCCTCCCTTGAGGCTTCTGAAAGAGAAATTTAGATTCCTACCTTATTTCCTGATAAGCCTATTTAAACTTTCAGGATCAAAAGCTGATCTGCACATGTGCTCTACACTTCTTGGTGCCAGGGGAACTGAAGCACCAATGTCGACAACCACTGTGGTGGTTGTAACGTGCTGCTTCAGCAAGCATATTTTCCATTTGCAAGCCAAAGACCATTTGCTCCAAGCAGCAGCACTGCATGTAACATACCCAGCATATTATGGACTGAAAGAAAGGACTAATATCCCAGGCTATTTCCAATATCTCTGTATAATAGATATGCTCTGCAGCATTATGAAGAATTAAGAAATACCCTAAAAAACACCTTTTAGAAGTCACAACAATACACTTCAGAATAATGAATAACATGCATTTATTTACTTATTAAATATATTTATATGGCCACCTAATTCATACCCAGTGGCTCTAAAGTTTGGAGTTTATTTAATGCAAAGAAGTAAAGTTTGTATGAATATACATATTAAAGAGTAAGTGTGCACTGGAATAAGGAGGGCTTTTGGAAACCTTAAAATGATATGGCCATTAAATTTGTTTGCACATGAGGGCATGAATCTTGATTGCCGTCTTCCAGCCCACTTTCTTTAGAATGCTTGGCCCTTTGCTGGAGATGACATGAGAAACCCACAGCACAATCAAGTAGTCATGTTTTTGTGGAAATCAACAATGAATCATTGTTTTAGTCGCCCCCTGATTCATTGTAATGACGATAAACTTGTGTCCAAGCCTGAATTATATCATGCACTACTAAGAGTAGCACAAAGGCCACATTTTTGAAAATCGTGATGAATGCTTCTCTTCATCAAAGTAAAAACCTAAGAGCATCTTCCACTATAAAGGAAACTAATTCCAAAAGAAATGTTGAATGCTAAGCATGGCACTGAAATGCTTAAAAAAAAGCATCTTTGCCATATGATGTTACTTTCAGTTGTTTTGCAGTTAAAACTATTAATCCTGGCCAGGATTATCCTGATTCATCAGCACTGTCTTCAAGCAGTTAAAAGGCTGCTGAAAGGATTGAAGGAAAAACAATATCACTTCCAAGTCCAAATTGAAGCCGCTTCAAAAATGGAGTATAAGAAAGTATTTGAAAAAAAATGAATTTGGTTCTTTGGTTCCCTTTAAATATACTATTTTTTCTTATTTTATATGGATCAATATATTTCACATATGGGGGTTTACAAGATCACTCTATGACTTTATCCTTGTAACATCTCTGCAGAAAGAGATTTAAGTTTCTGATTTTAAACATTATGTGATCCTCCTAGATTTTTGGAGAAGATTCAGATACTGTTTTGCAACTCTTTCTATTCCCTATTGCACACAGGAAACACTAAGAGCTATCAATCTGGTAACCCTAAACCTGATCTGAATAAAAATGCAACCTGATTGAAATATTTTATAATCTACTTTATCCAAAGCAGCAATATTAGAGCAAAGGCATGAGCAAATGGTAATTGCATAATTATGAATTTTTAAAAGAAATCGTAAACTGTCAATATTGTGAAAAATGTAGATAATCCTTGCTTAAAGATTACCTCATTCAGCAACTGCTTGAAGTTGCAACAGTGATGAAAAGACAATTTTATGACCAATGGTCACATTTATGTCCCTTGCTGCATCCTCAGTCAAGTGATCACCATTACAGTCACTGTGATTGATCTGTTGCTTTTCTACCTCTCCTTGCGGTGGAGGGACTGGAGAGGAAGGTATTACAAGAGAGTAAGCAGGCACACAATAGGGAATGCACTGGGTGGTTTGTATAGCTTGCTAGTGCCTGCCGACTCTACCACATTCCTTTCTATGTGTATTGTTTGTCTGCTTGTAATCTCTTCCTTTCCAATGAATGCTAATGCAAACGTTAATTCTCTTCTTGCTAATTATCCCAGTGCAGGGAGTGGTTAGGGGGCATACAAAAGCCAAAGCCAAAAGTATGAAACTAACTAATCTTGTAAATTTCGAACCAGTATTGCTGGGGTGAGTATTCAAAGGGCAGGATAATGGAGGAAAGGAAAGCATGGTCTGGTCACTTAATATCCCACTTAGTGATTGTTTCACTTAACAATAGGACTGCTGATCCTAACTGTGGTTGCTCAATTTGGACTACTGAATTGGAGTACAGATGCTTAAATATAATGTTTAAATATAAAGTGTGATACAGAGATTCAGAAGTGCCCCTTCCAAATACATCATTCTGCAGAATAAGATAAGTTTCCCAACAGAAAGCTCTTAAAGTGGTAGCCAAATTTGTTATTTTAAGCAGTACATTATGTAAGCAGATAGTCTTGTTACCCCCATAACCACAAATCAATTATAAATTAAAATCCAAATTTTAATTTGTATGATTGTGTACAATTACATAATCACACCAACTGTCCGAACTTAATCTTATTTAATGGACTTCGCAATTAAATAAGAGTGATTTTCTGTTAAATGGCAATAAAATTCAAACTTTTCTCCACTGAATCTGAAATCCATTAACCTGAGTTCCAATAAATTTAGGTTTTCCAATATTTTCATAAGTTCTTGAGTAATTTCACTAATAAGTGATTGCGTACTGCTAACCAAAAATCATTTTTCCCCCCCTGAAAAATGAGAAGGTAATGCCAACTCCAAACCTTTCGAAAGCTTTATATGAAGCAAGAGTTTCATCAAGAAGCTCTGAATCAAAGGAACACAACATTGACCAGTTATTGTTGTACAATGTTTAAGATACCACAAGAAGATGAGTATTGCCACTTTTTAGAACAATAATTCCAAGAGCACAGCACCTCTCAAGCAATAAATCTCTCAATGGTAATGTTAAAAAATGGTAATATTAAGCAAATTTAGGCAAGGGGTTAAGTTCAAAGCAATTTTGTCCATTATCTTATCATGAACATAATTTTCTGTTTGCTAACCTTGTGTTCCAGTCTTCCTCTGATTTAGACCTGTTTTTACGAGCAGCTCTTTGTTTTTCTTCAAGCCTTTTCTTTTCTTCACTGGCTACATCTACCAAAAGTTTTTTAAAAAAGAAGGAGGGGGGAGGGAACAGGATGTATCAAATTATAATTTATTAAAATAATACTTGAGTGGTAGTAATGTATAAATTTAGTAATAATGATAATTTATAAATATTTTTTCATTAGTATAATTTATATAAGATTTCTGTGTATTTTCACAAACTTTATTAAGTAGCTGATTATTCAACAATAAATTAACCCTTTTATCTTCCATGCTCCAAATAAATGAGTTGGCTAATTTACAATATTTCGTATGTACTTCTCCTCTTCTCTTTTCAAGATTAAACCTTTTCCTTTATACATTTACAATATTTTGTACAATATGCATATTTATTTATATAAAAACAATAACTTTAACAGCATTGTTACAATAAAATCAAACAATCCCCCTTTTTTTAAAAAAAAAACTGTTTTTCTGTTTTCATGAGAAAGGCAAGCTAGAGCAATGTTTCTCAAACTTAGCATATTGCCTCAAAAGTTGAACTCATCTTAAAATTGCAAAGTTTGAGAAATACTGAGCTAAATTTCCCCAAGACAGGCAACACTATCATTTATATAGAATAAAAACAGACAAACAAGCTGCCTTATTGATTCTGGCCTGGAGAGATCCAATGCAAATATTCTTAAACAAGGTTTCAGGTATTTCCTAAACTAGACATAGGGCTATTGCAAATTCTTTGCAGGAATTTGTAATAAGCATTTTTTTTAAAAAAACAGAGCAGTTGTGTCTTTCCTGGTTTATGCAGTTACTTCAGAAGTTGCTTCCAGCTTCCTCTGTCAAATGCATGTATTGGAAACAGCTAGGAACAGCTGTGTGAATTCAAAAAGATGTGGCTGTTTTGAAAAGAAGAGCCTTGTGTTCCAAAGCACAATCTTATTGCACTACTTTTTTATTCACTAACGTATGCATCAACAAGTTGTTCTGTAAAACATGATTGCCACAATAGACTTAAATATTTCAACATTCTTATGTCAAGAAACTTTAAACCCAGACTATTGAGTTACCTATTTCACCATTTTCCATAGCTCTTACATCTGGCCTTAGCCTGCAGTCAGTTTTAGGAATAACACTTTCCATTTCCTGATCCAATTCATTCAACATCATAGCAAAAGTAGTAAAGTTGTACATCTAAAAATAAAATAAATGGCTGTAGAATGTTCCATTTATAAAGAAATATTAGTTGTTAATGTATTTGCAGCCTCTAAAGAAAGTATCCACTGCACCCATTAAATAAACTAATTATGTTTAGGTAAAGCGTTCATCCCCCCCCCACACCCACACTTTCTTCACTGTGTAATTTCTGACAGCAAGACTGACAAAAATGTAGACCATTGTTTCTCAACCATGGCAACTTAAGTTGTTTGGACTTTATCTTCCAAAATTCCCTAGTCAGCTTGCTATATAAATTATATTAAACTTAGAAATTGGCCAAGGTTGAAAAGGATGTATACCATTGAATTCAAGGCTCCTCTCACCTGTGTTGAGTTTGAAGGCCTTGGAGCTATTTTCCACAACAACACACTTCCAGGGATCACACATATACTTTCACATTCTGGCAAGGGCATCTCATCCGGCTCATCAGAATTGCCTGTCTACAATGTAGTGTGAAAACCAGCACATTACACCCAGAAATAACATTTTAGTGCAGCTCTGTAAACATAATGCAGCTCTATATACAACTGTATAAAAATGTAAAGGTTTCCTGTGTCCAGTTGTGTCTGATTCTAAGGATTGGTGCTCAGCTCAGTTTCCTAGCTGAGGAAACTAGCATTGTCTGGTGGGATCGGAAGTTGGCAAATTGAATGTTTTCGGCCTCCGGAGGGCCTGCGGGTGGAGTGAGGAAGGCTGTTTTCGCCCTCCCCAGACTCCTAGAAAGGCTCTGGAGGCTAGGGACAGCAAAAAACAGGCCTTTCGGTCCCACCGGAAGTTGGTAAATGGGCAGTTTCTGGCCTCCAGAGGGCCTCCGGGGGTGGGGGGTGGGGAAGGCTGTTTTCGCCCTCCCCAGATTCATAGAAAGGCTCTGGAGACTGGGGAGAGAGAAAAATGGGCCTTCCCCACCACCTCCCTAAGGTCCTCTGGAGGCAGGAAACAGCCTGTTTCCCTACTTCTGGTGGGCCCAGAAGGCCCGAAAATCAGCTGGCCGGCATGCACATGCATGCCGGAGCTGAGCTTACATGTCCACTGATATGGCTATGCATGCCACCTGTGGCACACGTGCCATTGGTTCGCCATCATGGGCCTATACTGTGTGATAGTCATCGGAATCCCAGAAAAGAAAACTTTTAACATATTTGGACCTTTTTGAGAAAGTATGGAGTTTATGAAATAATTTTCAAAATCATGCATATCTTCCAACAGATAGTTCTGAATAGAATACTTATTATTTCAATATTTAAAGAGAAATTACTATTTCTATTCTATTTTTTAGTATTAATACCTGTTTATTGTTTTTCTTCTCTTCTGTGTTTTTCTTGTCATTCTTTTTGTAAGCTTCAAATGTAGTAAGATCGACACTGTACAAACACTCAGTCCATTTTCCGTAGAGTGCACAAAGTTTCTTTTTGCTGTCAAACCCCACCAAAACAATTAATTTTAGAAACATTAGAGTGTTTTGGATTAGCTAGGTTCCTATTTTGTATCAAAGTTACACAAAGCAGAAGCTACAGAATGTTCTCAATACTGTATTTGAACTACATTATCAAACAATGTACACTCCTGAAATATTTATTTCTCCCCACATATTTTAGTAATACATGGTTTTATTTACCTTTTATCTTGAATATGGCCTTCAACTTTGTGTAGTTCTTTTCCAAAAAGGCCACAGGGCTTGAAGTTTAGCATGCATTTTTCACCAGTTCTATGAAAGAAATATGAAACCTTTTAGTGTACTACTAATAGGACTTTAAAAAATAAAGAAAAAAGACCCCTACTCTCATGTTCAGCATGGATATTGGTTTTCTAATCTACTAGTGGCTACTATTTCCTTACAGTGACCTTTACTTGTTATTTATTGTTGCCTTGCAATTAAAGTAGTTGTTCTATTAATGTTTAATGTGAAGCAAATTTAAGCAAACCAAAGAGTAAATTTCCAACTTACTTGTGATTGGTTATTTCCACATTTCCATATTGCTCAATCCAAAGTTTGCCCACAATAATATTATGTACACAGCATGTAGGATTCGTCCATGTATATGCCTCATTGTGTCTGAAAAGGAAAATAATAAAACCAATTAAGATTCATACAAGGCTTTTAAAATGACCATACAACCTTAAAAAGTACACAAATCAAGGTATTAATTTATTCTTTCCCATTAGCAATATAACAGCAAATGTGATACTATCAATCACACACAAATGTTTGCTTTGTTTCCCATAGCACAGATAACCCAGGAAAAAAAGATCTACTGAAAGGTTGATTGATTGATTGATTGATTGATTGATTGATTGATTATTTATTTATTTATTTATTTATTTATTTATTTATTCATTCATTTATTTATTTTGTCAAACATGTACAAGATAGCAGGTATGAATATGAACACGGACATGAACGAGAGAAATTAATACAAATAAATGGGGACAGTAGGACAGGGACGGTAGGCACGCTGGTTTTCTTAATATAATAATATGAATTCCTAAAAACATAGCAATTTCAGAATAGTTCAATTATTTTCAAGCTAAGAACATTACTCTATGTAGTTTCCTGCTTGTCAAATATAAATTAGGTAAATTTACTATAAGTCACATAAAAAGTGATTTTAATAAAACAGTCACATATACTTTACTATTATTTGTGTTCACACAATGGATTAAATTCCATTCATTCTATGTCTGTATTGCTTGCAATTTCTAATCTAGTTCAAGATTAATATTGACCAACTTACTCAAGAAGCTTTAGAGTTATTATTCCCTTTGGTTCTGCTTCAACACTCTTTCCCCAAAACTTGAGTTTAGGATAAATGGAACCATGAAATATGAAGTCATTATTCACTCCTTCAGCATAAAAAGCACTAATTGGTGGGTGATGACTAACTTGTTCCGAGATGAGTCTGAATCCAAGATCCTCTCTATGCAGTAAAATAAAGTGATAATTAGAAATACTTATCTACAAAATGGGGTAAAACACAAACATTTCCATATCAAATTTTACTACACAAAAATAATTTTTTAAATTATTACTGGAATATTTGAGGGCAAGCTATGTTTTCTTAATATACCAACATTACTGAACTACACAGAAAAGACATGAAAGATAATTCTCAAATGAAGACTTTAACTAATCCAGCTATTAAGTAGAGAGTCAATACTTTTAACACTGCATAAACCACAGGGGACTAATTTTGTCTTTCCATTTCATGCCCAAGAAAGAATACCTGGAACGGTTTGATAGTGCATTTATTACCTAACAAGTTCATATGTCTCTCCAAGTAATGGATTGAATGGCTTTCCTGTACGTTCCCACTGAGAGGCTACAGCTGAGACAGCAAAAGCAGCTACACACTGTTGAAAAAACAATTTTTTATGTTATTTCTTTTGACTTTCACTAGAAAAATCTTACTTAATCAGCAGCTTTTGAAGCATTAATTCTCATTAAGTCAAATCAGTCTCATTTGACTCATGCTCAGCTTCTAATGACTATATAGACAGACACATTCTGGTTCTCTTCTCATATGAAAAAGGTAGTGAAAAACATTTAAAATATTAAAAAGAGTGATTAAATTATCACCATTAGTTTTTAAGAAGTTAAACAAACCTGCTTAAAGTTAAATTGCAGGTTGGATATTCAGTAGCTTCACTTTTATAATATCACTGTAAAGATCTCATATTTTATTTCTTCAAATAGCCTTCACTTAAATTCATAAGATTTTCTAGAAATAAACAACCCCATTATTTCCCAACTCTTGAGACAGAAGTACCTTCATTCTTTCAACTGGGTCAGAAAGCAAGCTGGCTTTATGAATTAAGTATGTATGCTCCATGTATTCTGTCAGCCGCTGTAGGAAACTCAGGGGCTCATTAAAAATTACTGGCATAGTGATCTTGGACAGCTCCTAGAAGAAATTTAAAAGCAATATTACAAAGTGTATGCAAATGTTTATTTATATGTCTGAATAGTTTTGGTTTACCATAAAAACAAAGTTAGACAAAAGAAGTAAACATGAACCTAGATATAAATTTATACTACTAATTTAAGGAACAGCTAATATGGCTTGATGAGTATCATATTGAAGTCAAAAAAAAAGAATTGTATATCCATACTGAATCTGAAGATTGTGATTCTGGACCACTGTACTCTCAATCTGGCCTCTTTCACAGAGTTGTTGGAATGATAAAATGGATAAGCAAGAGAAGAACTACACATAGCATGAAGGCAAGATAATATATACACTATATTGTAAAACCCAAGTTACACAAGAATAGAAAGATCAAGTCTTATTAGTCTTTGCTTTACAGTGTCTAACAACTATATGAACAAATATTTAGGGCTCTTCAATATGCATTAATGCAGAGTCAATATTGACTAGGTGACTTCACTTGTGAAGTAAAGTACCTAATTAATAGGCACTATATACATTTAAAAATCCAAAATATTCTTCTATTAACATACATGTAGGATATGCAAAATGGGAAAAAGTGTACAATTGACTGTAATCTCACTCCATCTTTGCAGGAAAATGCTACAATGCCTAGTGGGTATATTAACTTTCTGAATAATTTTTCTCTCCTTAGATCTCTTTATGCTGCCAATTAGTTTTCCTAAGTGTGCTGAAAATAAAACACTGCAAATTTTATAAATGAGTAAATAAATGGACAACAAATATTTGACTATGTGGTGGAATGGGCTAGAAGCACTCTTTAATGCATTCTATAGGGATAAAAAACCCCATAATAATTTATTTCAGAAATGAAACCATAAACAATACACATTTATAATTAAAATAAGGCTCTGTTAAAAATCATATTTACCTACCATTCCAATGCACTTTCTTAAGATACTCCAAATACTGAAGTCATTTCTTGAAAACATTGGAGAGGGCAAGCTTGTCCTAGATTGGAGCGGAGGCAGGATAGCTATTTAATATGCTACCACGTTAATTACACAGAATATACTTTATACTATTTAAAATAAATCCTGAACACAGGCCTATGTACCTTAGCACTAGAAGCCAGGTTTTAACAACTCCTTTTCTTCCACACCTACTCACTCATGAGGAATAAATTCTCAAACCAGAGCTATGCATCCTATTATAAAACTTCCAACTGCTTTGTGTAAAGCAAAAACACACCTTTGGTTTTGAGACAAGTGCGGATAACGGATTTGATGTGAGCCTTGTCATATATTGGATCATTGGAGATTCCTTCATCTTCCTTATGTGCATATCAATTCTCAGAATTCTCAGTCTCTTGTGCTAGCTAGAATTCTAGAAGCTGGTTTACACTATGGGAAGTGGTTCAAATTTAATTACTTGCTTATAATGATTTCTATCCCACTCAGCTCCTAGGAGTCCAGATTGTTTTAGACATAAAAAGTATTCTAAAAACTTGTAAGTTACAGATGCCAACGTATTTTTTGTACTATTGGGGCCTCCCATGAATGAGTGAGCATGTAGTTAAATAACTTAACCTTTTGGCTCCCCATGCCCCAAATTTGGGAATTTTGGGTAGATTATTAAGGGCTTAAACTAAATGCTTTAAAAAGTCTGAGCTTCTTCGAAGTACTAAAACAGTTCCTCACCCCACCCAATTTTGGAATTCAGCCTCTGACATAGTGTGCAAAGCTTTATGGAACACTCCAAAACAAGAAAACAGCCCACTCCTGAAGTAAAACTGAGGATCACAGAGACCTAACTGAGCTTAATGTTGGTTTCCCCAATGTGGTTATAATTTACTGAATTGTAGGATTGGGAAACTGTGTTAAATTCTTTGCAATCAAATCCTTTCAGTGGTATTTATTCACAGATAACATTATTATTAACAGTCAATAATAAGAACTGAATTCTATTATCAGAAAAACTAATTAGCTAGGGAACACTCACTGCTGGGCAAAAATAGTTCTGGATAGCCATCCCTGCCTCCCAATTTGAGAGGACTACATATACACATAATGTTTTTTCCATACATGTAAGTTTATAAAATCTCCAAAACTAATCTGAAATTGTACAAAAAACAAGGACACTCATGGTCACTGTTCAATTGTTTCTTGCAAGAGTCACTCCAGAATACAGATGAGCTTTGCAGCATAACTCATCATGCCCCTGCAAGATAACTGTGACTTTCCCCAGTTATAGCTTGAAGCAGAGAAGCCCAGAAAACTAGTTTCATGGAGCCCATAATGGTCAGAAAAAATGAACATGCATATTGTGCAGAATGTAAAAGTTCTTTATGCCTCCAACTCATCTTTAGAGAAGCTTCCTCTTTACTTGTTTGTTCTGACTGACCTGGAGCCAAATGTCTTCAACTTTTTGCAAATCAGGAAACACTGTTTTTTCCATCACTAGAACATCAAAAACCCATCACCATACTAATAAAGATTAGTTTTTAATCAGGGATATCGTTGTGTACTCCTATGTTCAAATGCTTCGTTCATTCTTTAGAGAGATAGAACCACTATGAAACTACCATTCCAAGTGAAATTTATTTAATTTATATGCTGCCCATCTCACCGATAGGGTAACTCGAGGTGGATTACAGAACATAAAAAGATAAATAGAAAAGCAATTAAAAATTTAAAACTATGCATATTAAAATTTTAAAACAATGCAATTGAAGCAGAAAAGAATTTGGCCATAAGCCCTTATGATACAGAAGAATAAATTTGCAGAAATAATCTTCAAAACACATTAAATTCCAAAATCACAGGATCATAGAGTTGGAAGGGACCTTAGTTTTCTAGTCCAACCTTCTGCCAAGGAACAAACACTGAATGTCAAGTAAAACAAATTAAAAAAGCAATATTCCATAAGCCAAGCATTCAGAGTATATTAAAACAGAAGATAATTTTGAGGAGCATGTAGTTTTATTACTATGTATGAAGAAATATCTCTAAAGGATAATTTATTCTATTTTTTAGCTATTTGACTTGAGGAATTGTATATACTATATTAATTAAGGTCACATAAATGAATTGCCTCCATATAATTCAACTGATGTTTTGTGCTTTGGCATATCACAGGAGAAATGTACTGTTACTCTGAGTAATCAAACAATTTTCAGTCCCAGCCATTGTGGAGACATATCAAACTAGCTCGATGCCTACTTTAAACCAACTATTGTCTAAGTCCCAATTAGTCCAAATCTTGGAAGTGACCACATTTTTACACACATTATTTAAACTCCAGAATGGCATGCAAACAGTCAAATCTTCCACCTCAAATAAGTCAGGAGGGAAGAGAGAGATTTTCTATCTTCTCTTTTAGAACTTCCACACTTATCTAAAACAGAACTGTAATGTTCTGTCCCCCAAATTTTCAATTTTTTGCCAAACCCTCCAGTGATATTTTTCTACACTTCTCAGCTGGGGCTAAGGAAAGCTTCAGAAAAATAGTAACCTTTTATTCCCCTTGCTCCTTCAATTGCTTTTCTGTCTCTTGTAGGGTCCAGCAGAAAACCTCCTTAATCCCACTGACCCACTCCTAATATTTTTACAAAAAGTAATTCCCAAGACTTCCTCCTTCAGCTCAATATAATTCAGCTATCTCCAACCCTCAGCGAACGTTCTCCTTTGGTTGGCTTTTGTTCAATTACTAAAATGACCCTACTCACATTTTACTAGCAACACTACTGAGGAATCACAACAAACAACAGTTTACCCTGTCACCTGTATCCTAGATGAGCACTAGGATCATTCTCAAACTACTCTTAACTCTATTCATTTCCTGCCTGCATGCTTCATTGCAGATGATGCATGTTCAAATTTTCATGATATCATGTTTTGCACTGAGTAGCATAGGAGAAGCCAAGATGCCAGAAGGAAAAAGCAAATGTGATGGAAAATGAAGGAATAAGATGTTAGTTCCTGCAACCTTTGATTAGCAAAACTGTTAGACTGCATTAGACTGAATAAATAAAGAAACAAGATCATTCCAAAAGTGAAGACAGAATTGATCAGTGAATGGTCACTTTTAAGATTGCATACAAATATAGAAATACTTTTTGGCATAATTTAATCATGGGTTCCTAGGCATTATCATTCAAAAGAAAAAAAAAGTTTTTTTATATTATATACCACACAGACTACATGTTCAAGGCAGTCTCTTGTTATATCTATGTAATTTGTGTCCAATCAAACTTTGAGAATTTGACAGACGCTGAAAAACCTTTGTGATGTTTAGCCCTTGAAAAACATAAACAGCTCCAGGCTATATAGGTAGATGTCATAAAACCTATATTTAAACTGTGGAGTATCTTCTTATGAAAATTTCTTCCCCTTCTATTTAGAGATTCTACCTTGAAAAAGTCCATTAGCTAATTTACAAATACTATATCTGTGAAAAAAAGCAGTGGTCCTTTCACAGGATAGACCTGCATCCAGTAAACATTTTGATCTACTTGAAGACAGACAGGAAGTCCCTTTTATAGGACAAGTCCTTGATCCAGGGTATCTGAAAGAAAATTCACAAGTGAGAGAAATGTTCTCCATTTCAGAAATAAGCTGTATGAAGATCATCAGAAAGAAAATTCCTTGCATTTATCTCTCATTTCTAGGATCAGGTTTTTAATGTTCCTTATTATGTGAGGTATAGTACAGTACTTTACAGTTGGATCTTTTTTTCTTCATTTCACTATTAGAATGCACGAGAAGATATGAAAGGAGCAAAATATTAACAAAATAAATTATTTATAATTTTTTAGCTGATAAAACACTTTATTTTATATTACTTGCTTATATCTGACTAGTACCAAAACAAATTTTGAACTAAAGGTAATTTGCTAAAACAGAAATTGTGCATTTAAGGTGGCAGAAAATGAAATGTTTTAACTTTTAATGTGTGTTTTAATGTTTTTAACCTTATAGTTGTTTTATACTGCTATTTATGACATTGTAGGCTGCCCAGATTTGCTTGATAGTGAGGTGGATGGTATATAAATTTAATAAATAAATAAATAAATAAATAAATAAATAAATAAATAAATAAAATAAAATAAAATAAAATAAAATAAAATAAAATAAAATAAAATATAAGCTTATGGCTTTAATTTCAGGATACATTTTTTTCACGATTAGTTTAGAGAAGACAAACTACCAGAAAACTATGTCTGCTTATAAATATAAAGTAAAATAAAATAAAATAAACAGCAGTGTATCAGCCATAAATTCAAGATCTGGTTTTAGGCAAATCTCTCCCCCCCTTTATATAATCACATTTGAGTGTTATTCCCATAAAAAATGGGCCTCATATTTTGATAGTAAAGGGCCACCTTCAATGTTTGGAAGGAGTTCAGAGCCACGGAGGGTAGGCATTGGGTGTGGGACTGTAATGCTGCAAATGGCTAGAAACCATTTTTTGTTTTCATAGCTTTGGGGGAAGTTGTAGAGTTGTGCTTTCTTAAACTATTTTAAGATCATTTCATGGCTTACACTAAAGTTTTCATGCACTTTCTGTTTCAAAATGGCAGTGACCCATATCATCAGGCCACTGGGGTCAAAGGGGATCCTGGTGTAACATAAAAAGGGACTTATGAGATATTTTGGGATGAAAGGTTCTTTAATATGGAAAACAGAACTATGGTTTTTTCATTATTACTGAACAGAATCTACTACAAAATGTTGTAATATAGAGTTTTCAAACAAGTTGGTACCTGGTTATTTTTTTCAGGATATTCGATTTCATCCCTTTTATTTTTCTTCTTCAACTATCAGAATTTGTGGCCATTGTTTAGTTGCTTTTTTTCCCTTTTCTGCCAACTTTGGAAATCTTCATTTCTTCCATTTGACTCATGCTCTTCGGGTCTCAATGTTAATGCTACTCAGAGAATAAACTTCTTAGTGAATAGACATGCCAAAAAGGCAAACTTCTGTTCTGGATCAAAATTAGGAATTTCGAATGAAAATTCCCTTTGAAAATAGTGAAGTTGGTAAGACAATGTTTCCCATCAAGTGGAAAGTATTGGTTTTGTTCCTCAGGGGAGACATTAGATGCAGAGCAGTAGCCATCAATGTTGGTCATAGTTTTAGTTTTGCAAATATTCCTGGTATTCTTAGCTTCTTCAACCATGTACTGTCAATATTATATGCAGTATATACAGAAACATAGAACATGAAAAATATCTCAATAGTTTAGTAATAATCCAAGATTATATCAGTGACCCAGGAGGGTAAAAAAAGCACAGCAAAGCAAATAAATCCTTCTTATGTGAATTTAATTTTAGCTCCACCATTGGTCATATCCAAATCCATCTCTATCAGATATACACAGACAATACTTTCAGGATGTCTTTTGCCTAATTGTGGTTTGTATGGCTATCTAACTCTGCTCAAAATAAACGATGGTTTAATTCTTGGTTGCATAGGCTTGCAAATCCTGATCTGCTTTACCATGGCTTGAAATGTTTGAACCTAGAATTCTATCTTGATTTATCCTCCCCATCTCTTGCTTAGCTACAAAAGTACTCAGCAAGTGCAGCTTTAAAAAACTGAAAACTTTGTGATCCTATTTCTTCTTGTTTCTTCTTCAGTATGAGATTATTAAATCTCTCTCTCCCACTATATCAATTTTTATAGAAGGCAAACTAGTGATGCAGACAATTACACAGATAAACATGTAAAATACAAACTCCCATAAAAGCATGTCCACAAAAAAAATATATCCTCAAAAATATGCAAGCAAACACATGCTACAAACAAGTATTCTCTCTACATATATATCTGTCTGTCTGTCTCTCTGCCTGCCTATCTATTTATCGAGAGATACACAGATACACACAAATGTATAGAAAAGGCTTATTCTACCACTCAACCCCCAACAAAAAAATCCAAAGCCAAAACAATCTGTACTTTACCTCCCAAAATGCATCCCCCCCCCCAGCTCCTCAGTCTCTAACTTATTCAAAGGTTAAATTGGCTTTTCCAGCTTTGGGGTGTTTGGATGCCAATGGAACAAATGGTAGGAAGCTTTTGAAAACCATTAGATTTGTTTGGTTTGTTCAGCAATCTGACTTGCTCAGCAAATCCTTCATGACAAATCCTGACTTAGAATGATATCCATTAAAAGTGATTTTTTGCATTTTTTCCATTTCATGTTGCTCTACATTCAGACCAATCAGGACCAAGCTTTTCACTCTGATTTTTGTCTTAATCTAGGTACTTTTGAAGGCTAATTCTGTCTTGTCTTCTAAACAGAATAGCTTGCTTCCCTGTTCATTTCACTCCACAAACGTTTTACTGCTTTGGCCCAAATGTGAAGAAACCAACTTTATAGTTATAGTGCTAAGTTTTCTGACAGAGCCTAAATTCCTGTCAATGGCTGAGCTTCAAGATGCACTCTTCCCCACCTCAAATTCTTCCCTTGAAATAATGTTGAAGAGAAAATGTGTCAATTCATCTGGTGTATGGTGGAGGTTCCCACAGAAAGTGCTGTAATCAAAGAAGAGGAAGGCAGAAAGAACCTTATCCATTCTACCATTAATTTCTGGTCTCACTGACAAATAGCACTCCTTCACAGCAGATAAATAAATAAACCAACTATTGATACCATCAACAAAGCACTTGTGGACAAAGAAAGTGTGCATGGGAACAGTAAAAATCCAACTGTCTATTCTTAGGGAGTTCCTGGAGCAGTCCAGATTCAAATTTGGATGCTTGAGATAGTAACTGGCCTAAAATCACTCAATTTAATAAATTTCACAGAGTTGTTCAGACAACAGAGTAGGTAGTAAATATTTGATCTCTTATCAAATATAAATGTGACAGCTAGTTTTTACACAATCTATAAGGAGAACCATTTTTTTAAATCCAATATAACATAAATATGCACTGATAATCGTATTAATATTGTATATAGTTTAGCTAGTTTGTTGTACTGGTTAAGTCCTGGTTTAGAAACCACAGAGACTGGGAGTTCAAGTCCTGCCTTGGGCAAGAAAGCTGGCTGGGTGACTTTGGGCCAGTGACTTTGTCTCAGCCTAACTCACCTCATAGAGTTGCTGTGGGGAAAAGGAAGAAGGAGTATTATGTATGTTTGCTGCCTTTATTATAAATTAATAAAGGTAGGATAAAAAATCTGAAAAAGACACATTTGATTATTTGAGAAGCTCATACTTAATGTGTTCCTTGGCTTACACATTCAGTAATTTTGAAGTAATATTATCCAATATGGCTTTCCAGCTTTCTTTTGCAATTATTTTTAAAGAAGTGTTTTAAAAAGTTTTACAGTATCTTTTTTTCTAAGTGGAATCATATACTTCTGTCACTAGAAGTTTCAATTTATAGGATCAGTGTCCATAGTCAGTGCCCCTGTCTACTTTGGGCTGGTGCCAATAGAGCAGATTTTGAGGGTGCATAAAAATTGTCTTCCCTAACCAAAAATGTCACAATAGCTTGTACCCTAAGGTTGCGTTCAGATCTCTCTTTTGTATGGAACATAAACAATACTACAGTTGTTGTCATAATAGGTATTTATTACTTTCACCAAAAATATGTTTAGAATTAAAACAAAGTAGCTGTACGTGTGCAATAACACATCTTGCTTGTATCCAAATACACAATTATAAATACCCCACCCCTATGATAAAACGTTCACATATTTATGCTACAAATGCAGTGTAATTAGATGACAAGACAAGCAACCCGTATAAAAATCCCAAGATAAATAGGAACACTGAACAGCTTTATCTCCTTGGGGAAGTTTTCTGCAAAGCAAAATTTAGACTTGTTTTCCCACAGAGGCATGACAATTGACATCAATATGTATGCAGACATATGCCAGATAGAGAGATCAAATACTGCAAATATAGTTTGGAAGAGGGCATTCACCAATAATTGAAATGCATACATGCGGTTCAATTTTACTTCTCAAGAAATATCCTAGCTCAGTGTTTTCAAAATGCTACTCCAAGTCCATAAAAAGCCAGTAATAATCTTTAATTGTTGATAAATGCAGAAGAAAAAAAAGGGAAAGAAGGAAAAAATGGGGACAAAATTAGAGATGTGAAAATGTAATGATCCAAAAGCATAATGAGAGACATCTGTAGTGGAAAGTAAAGAAACCTCAGAGGAATAGGAAACAAGAGCCTGGAGGCTCCAATCACCTCTTGTTTACAATTTTGGCAATGGCATTTTACAATGTTTTATGGACACTTGCCAAATTACGACTTGTTTCTAATGCTTAAAACAACATTGAAATTACCACTGCTTGTTTGCGCAGAAAAAGTAGCCAACTGTCTTAAGAAATTTAAAAAGATAAAGGTAAATGTTTCCCTTGCACATATGTGCTAGTCATTCCCGACTCTAGGGGGCGGTGCTTATCTCCATTTCAAAGCCAAAGAGCCAGCGCTGTCTGAAGATATCTCCGTCATCATGTGGCTGGCATGACTAAATGCCAAAGGCGCATAGAACACTGTTACCTTCCCACTAAAGATGGTCCCTATTTTTCTACTTGAAATTTTTATGTGCTAGGTTGGCAGAAGCTGGGACAAGTAACGGGAGCTCATCCTGTTATGCGGCACTAGGGGTTTAAACCGCTGAACTGCCAACCTTTTGATCTACAAGCTCAGCGTCTTAGCCACTGAGCCACTACATCCCTTTTATAAGAAAGTTAATAATTATTTATTTAGCATATTGCAGGTCAGAGAACGCAGGCATTTTAGGAATATCATTGGAATGATACAGGATATTATAATACAGGAAATTAAGGATACTACTATCCAGTGATAATTAAGTGAGGTAAGAAAAATTCCTCACTTCATCACCATTTCAACTTGCTTCTCCCCCTAGCTCTATTCAAGATCATTAGTGAAGGAATCATAGTTTTCATTTGTCTTTCTTTATAACTATACTGTCCTCTGAACAGAATACATTACTGAGGCCAGCCATAATAAATATTCAGTTGTTAATAGATATGAGATATAAGGTTAACTTGCTTAGATACGTCCTATTTTATTATATAAGAAAAAAAATCACTATAAAAAGCAGAATAACAAATGACAAGGAGAGATTCCTTTTAACTATATGCAAATTGGAAGGGAAAAAGTACATGTATTAAGTTCTCTCTATAGTGAAACCTGAGAAATTAAGTATCTGTTACATGTAACCGAGGAACTATTGTTCTTTGTTACAGATAAAAAGAACAGACGATGGAGCAATATCTGAATGCAACTCTTCTACCCACTTTTTTTTGCTCTTAATGGGGTTTTTTTAAAACATATATTGAAATTATAAATTAGCTCTAATTGGTATAAACAGATGGAGGAGATCAAGTAACTGGAAACTAAAAAAAGCAGCAGTGACACATTAAAAAAACATGAAGAAATAAATAAGAGACAGTATTGATTTTAATAAGGCTAATTTAAATGAATTATAAACGTGCATTGTTAAGAATTCCTCTATTTAGTTTGCATTATGATCAAGTCATAATATTGTTCATTTAATTCCCCCCCCCCAATATTTATCAAAAAGAATAGTGTCCCTGTTAAGGTGCAGCTGTTATTGTTGTTCTCTGTTCTCCAGAGAAGAGGCAGCAGTATCCCCAATTATCTGTATTAGATGAGCTTTTGTCAGCACAGCAATAGAGGCTACCTCTCAGGACACTAGGCAAAACCATACCTGTGTTTTTTTATGCCATTTGATAGAGTCTCTCGGTTTTTATTTGCTTTTTCTTCAGACATGTTAGCTGTTATGGTGTCACTAGAGTTCTCGCTGTCTTCCAATGAGAAGCTAGTCACGGTTTCAAATCCAGTAAATGATTTTTCAGATTCTGAATCTACAAGATAGACAAGTGTCAATTTATTAAGCTTCAGGGTTAATCTTTCACAGACAAATTAACAGAATCTTCATATACAGCACTGGAATTGAATAGCCTATCAATGTGATATGGATGGCAGCATTTGACCGGTCAAAGCAGCACGACTGGAAGTTGTATAACATGTGATGGTCAAACTGTTCAGCATTAAGGATTATCACTTGAGGTTGCAGGTGAGTAGTTATAGTCATGTCACAGAAACACAGTTTTAAAGGTTATTAAAAGGCTAAATCTAGGCTATTGTGACCAATCCCTACCCAACACAAGGATCCAAATTAATGCCAAAATCCATATTACAATATTCCCAAAAGGTGGCAATTCAGCTTCTAGTTGACAATACCTACCCAATACAATACAAGTTATTACCGTACTTTTCTTGAGAAATGATTCCATTGTCTAATTGCCCTTGGTACAGTTGTCTAATCCAAGAATAGAGAACCATTCTGGGCTTTTCTTTATTTCTCAATCATAAAATTATAGAATGTGTAAGTGAGACAGGTTCTTATAAATGATCAAGTCCAGTCCTTTGCCAACTGTAAGAATTTACAAAACTATCTCTGATAGGGAGTCATCCAGCTCCCATTTTTCCAAGGAAGAGAACTTCTACCAGAACAGAAACTCAGCTGGCCACAGGAAATATTTGGAAGTGGTTATTTACATTAATGGAAATCACTGAAAAGGTGCTCAAATTTTGCACTTGCCATATTCATTGAATCTGCAAATTCTTACACATACATTGTAAGTATGCATTAGGCTGCAGAAAACATTAATTTTGTGCCATGTTGCAACTGAGTCAACTTCTCTTAGAGAATTATTAAAATCCGTAATTTGACCAAAGCTTCCTAAAATTTTACACAGAACTGTGCCTACCATGAATTGGGGACAATGCTTCTTTTAATGCACTGCATTGGTCTTTCTAACTCTGCCTCCTGCTACTTCCTCATGTTCTGCTGGTAATCAATAGTACTTCTAAATCTTTCTTATTTATAATACCATTAACATATTGACAAAATTTTTACGGATTCCTCTAGAGAAATGTGCAACATTCTACATTTGCAACATTCTACATTTTGCGGTCATGCTAAAGCAACACAAAGTGGTCTTAGGGCAGTGTTTGTTCTCTTTCTTGGTTGCTCCCTTAATCGCTGCCCTTAATTAGGGTTACAAGTTATTGTGGCAGCCATTTGTATTAACTATATCCCCTTTTATGGTTATGGTTGTTGTATCTACAATATACAGTGTAAGGACTGCAACAACCACTATGTAGGACAAACAGGCAGAAGATTGGCAGAACACATTCACAAACACCAAATAGCAGTCAGAAGACATGATGAAAATTCATTAATTTCACAACATATAGACAGATTTAACCATAGTTTCAATTGGCAAAATCAAATGTGACCAAATAGACCAAGCCAAGTTGAAAAATGCCAGGGAATTTCTAGAAGTCTGGGACTCTGACAAATCAGCCATCAATAGACACATAGACATTAACAATATCTAAGGACTATGCAAAAGAGACAATCAACCAGCCCAAAAGGGAACAGAAAGACCAAGCACCTCTCCACCAGCAATCAGCACTCAGATCAGCATAGTTTAACTCCAAGGTTAACATCAGACCAACAATCAAGTAAACAATACCCCAATCAAGAAATTGCCAAAGAAGCCAACAGCAAACAGCCCAAAAAATCTCTAAGACCACCCTCACTCATACTGACTGGCAAGCCACTTGAATGTAAATTGACAGCAAACAGCACCCCTTACTACCAGTAGCAATGATGATGTTACCTAGTATGGGTAATGAAACATTGTATAAAAACAAGCAAGCTTAGAGAGGATCAAGGACCCCTCAACTACAGTTATCAAATCAGTTATTTGGACCAGGTATAAACTACCGGTATATAGAATGGATTTTTATTTAATTAAATATAGTTAGTGAAACTATTCTTCAATCATCTATTTAACAATGCCCTCCCTTTTGTTACATTACAAAGCCACAACTTAAAAATAGCTTTTTGGAAATCTCTATGGGAATATACCAAGGTTTTCCAGGTTTCATATTGACCTAGACTATTTCATATTGCCATGTGTTTGTTCTTAAGTGTGAATTACTTGCAAAGTACTCTTTTAAACATAATTTAACAAACTCTTAGCATATTAAATCTAAAAAACACTTCTTTCAAATCTAACCAGAAAATCAGATTCTTTCATTCAAAAATTCATGAAGGTTAACATAATCAGTGTTTTCATTCCTTGTTCTCAAATACACGTTTTCCCCATAGAACAAAATGGTGCCTAAAAGGACATCGTAAATAGCCACCAAAATGATGACAAGCAAAGAATAAGCCAAAATATGCCTGCCTGAAGAGGCAAGATATTTGGTTTTTTTCCAAAAGCACAGAGCAATAGCAAGAGCAACATCTGAACCTGATAAATGATTCTGTTAGAGTTAAACTGATACATTTTAGTAATTTAATCTAATAACTATGTGCAACATGTTGTAACCTGTTTTAATAAATTCAGCGCCATTTCTTAATTTGGTACCTGAGCTGGTACTTACCATACTTAACTTTTGAACCTCACTCATAAATTTCTTTTTCATTAAATTCTTAATTTGCATTCAATAAATTGAATGAGGATTACAGATTATATACTTGTGTGTATCCATTATTAACATCTAAATATCTACCAATCATAAATACATTGGTGCAATATATTTTGACACACTTACCAGATATAGCATCATAGAACTGTTCCTCACTAAGGATGCTAATGGGAGGTGACCCTTTGACTAGCGATTGCTCTAATTCATGGTGTTCAGTGGCTAGTGTTTCTAGAGCTTCAGATAAGATCTTATTTTTCTCTTGCTCATGCTCCAGTTTCAGATTCCTTACCTATAAGTAGAAACACATATGAATAAAATTTCATCACTCCCAGGAATGTGAGACTAAAAGATATTTCAAGAATAGGCTCCAGTTTACAAGCAAACCATGTCAACAAGCTTTCAGAAAGCAAATTAAAAGGTAATGAGGTATATTACGCAGTTGCTTTATGATTTTGTCACACTGTATCATTTCAGAACATTACAAAATAGAAATGTTTTAAAAAAAGACTTCACTGACAACTAAATTTAAAGCAGAATGAAAAGTAATTCATATTTGCATGGTTTAATTATACAGTTATTAAGAGCTCTATGTATTCACTACCATAGTGAATTAATATCTGCCTCCCTCTGCCCAAACATTTATCCAATGCTTTCATAAAGCAGACATTTTGCACATTATCGATCTGTAAAACAAGCATACCCGCACTGGTTTTCTAGTTTACAAACATAATTGTAAGCAATTGTTATTGGCCTTGAGTGAGTAACTCAATTCTAAATAATCTTTTCATCACTCTGAACTTGGGTCACAATTTTACCTGAAGATCAATTTCATAGAATAGGCCAAACTACTGAATAGGCCTAACTTAGTATATACTATCCACAGGAAAAGTTTCCTGCCATTTAATATGGATACTAAGCTTATGGCTACCTTCACACTTCATGGCAAAGTCATTTTCAAATAACCATCAAATAAATGGTATTATCATTGAATATCATCCTATATTCAGTTGTCTAGTTTTTACTGACTCAAACCATATTATGCTAATATTGTAAATGAGCGTTATTACCTGGCAGTTAATTTCCAAGCTCTATTCAGAACGTTGGTACTGATTTTTAAAACTGTCAAAAGGAAGCTTCCAGTATGTGTGACCTGTAGGGAAACCTTATTTTCAAATTCTTTTATTCGCAGACCTAAAATAGCATTTTCCAAATGTAGGACCTTTTCTGTTGTGGGGCTTTCTACTTCTGGAATTCCACAAGATCCACTTCTTTAGTGGTGTGGACAGTATGGATTTACACTGTTTTTACAGATTTTAATAACACAAGAACAGTTTTATTCATAATAAAAACTTAAACAAGCTTTATGTCCGGCTTGCTTAAGAAGCAAAAGCCCTTGCCTTTGTTTATATAAATTAGCCTCAAGGTAGCTAATTATACAAAACATTTTTTGTAACATTCTACCAAGCTATTCATTAAAAACTCAGAAAAATCTAGGGACAACCTAGCTTGGTGTCTAAATTTTAACAACTAAATGCATATTGCTGGAAAATAGTTATTTCAAAATTAAAATGCCTTCACAGAAAAGACCCTTTCCCTGTAGCCATTCATATTATGAAAACCATAATGAGAAACTGGAAGAATGAAAAGGAATTGAAACTCAACTGTTGCTAGTGAAGGAATTCAGAGTTACTAGTCTTGAGTAAGACTAGGAGAAGTTTGCTCATAGTTCTTGGGTAGTATTAGTTACAGTTTTTTAGTTTTTCTTTTCGCAGGCTATTATATATGATGGCAAAAGTCAACAGCTCTGAGCTTATAGAAAGGATTCAACTAGCACTTCATAACAGCTTCATTCATTCTCCAAACTATGATTTGCAGAATAGTGAATGAACACTGTGTTTGCATACTCCTTTTTTATTTTGTCCTCTTCCATATACCCAGTGTATTCCATTTTCTAAATTAATCGACATACAATTCACCATCAATAAAAACTATTTTTTAAAAAAGAAGAACCTACAGTACTAAATATCCAATAAAATTCTGACAAATAAGAACCTACAGTGGCAAATATTCAATATATTTAAAGAAAAAACTTCAGATTTCTTATTTAGATATATTAGATATTTAGCACAACAAATTTAAATATTCCAAAACAGATTTTTAAACAGATAATGATTTTCTACCTCATTCTGGAGACTACAGAAGATGTCCAGCTAGCTTGTGCGCCTAAGCATAGACTAGAAGTCATTATTTCTTGGTTTCTAGTACAAAATAAACAGAAACTGGCTTTTGCTTCCTACAATTTGAATTGGAACGCAAAGCATAAAAAAGCTGTAAAAGAAGTAACGAGAATAAATATAATATTGATTAGTGTTGAGAGGTTTAAATGACAAAGGCAATATGACCTCATCAGCAATTTTACAGCAGATCCCTTTGCCTTAGGATCATTTTATGGTAAGCACTAAATTATGTGCAGAGGCACAAGTATTTATGGTGAATGCAATCTGAAAGGGATATATGCAGAGACTGTGGGAGTTTGTTCCCAGCTGTGGCTTCCCATCATATGTGCATAATCCAGGGTATAATCAATCTATTTGGGAAAACTTCTCAAATGTCTCCCCCAATGGTGAAGAGAAGCGTCTAGCTTTCACCAGACTGTAACTATTGAAAAAAAAGGAGTAGAGGTTTAAATGCCCCACCTTTTCTTGATACAGTAGAAAACCTGAACTGCACCTCCTTGGATAATCATCCAAGTATCCTCTCACCCTTCCATCCAGAATACAGTCACACACATACACAGCAGTCCTGCATCTTTTCTCAAAAGATCATTATTTCCACTTAGACATCTTGACGTCTATCTGAAGTTTACCCCATTTGGGCTGCAAAAGTCTGGATAACCCACCAATTGGAAGTAAATATTTAGCATATCCCTCTACTGGTCATCTGGATATCTGCAGCTTGGATATAGTAGCCCAATATAAAAGGTTTATTGAAGGAATGGGACAAGGTGTGATTCTTCCCTTCCTCTTGTATATTTATTTACACCATTCTGCATAATGTAAAGAAAGCCATGCTATCATTAGTAGTGTAACAATAAGTAGTATCTATGTAAGACATTCTTTGTCAAAGAAATGGCCACAAGACAGGTCTACAAGAAACAAAGAACATATTATATTACATGAAGGCCAACATCATCCAACATCTGTCTGTTAACAGTCAAACCTGCAGCTAGTCATGCACTACTTGTGAATCGGCCATATGGTTCATGAACATTAGTATACTGATTCAGAATCTGAAGGTCTTACTCAATTATCATCAATAGATATGCTATCTCATAAATGTTTCAAGATAATTGAGAGAAGCATCTGTTATCTAAAGCACTAAATAAAAAAAAAACTTTGCAGAGGTGGCAGAGCACTCCAAAACAATGCCAAGGAAACTGTATGGATGGAAGCAGCACAAGTGGTGTGCCACGCTTTTTTTTTTTTTTTTTTTTGTGGTGAGAACTAGAGTAGATTAGATTAAGCAGTAGGTTTTTAACAAGTAAAGCTGTCAGTACCTCTCATCCTTTGTTTCAATTTTCCAATCTGGGAAAAATATTATTTCTATGGAAAATTCTAGTAAATAGAAATTATAAAGATTAAGATTATAATTCTAAAAACATTTACTTCTCCAAGACCCTGAAATTACAGAAAAATGCTTTTGAGAATACATGGGCTTGTTACTTGATTTTTCCACTAGAATGAAACATTCCATTAGAATGAAACAAAACTGTCAGATTTCTAGCTTTCATTTCAGTACCTCTTTCAGACTTTTGTTTTTTAAAAACCCATTGATAAACTCAATTTCTGAGGTGATCGCATCTATATACAATTTTAAGATGGGCATGTAACAGCTTTCAAAAACTAATTAGTATAGCTCAATTCTAACAGCCCCAATACACCCACAGCCTATTTATCACTATCAATATATTCCTACAGTGAGATGATGAGTGCCAATATTGGAATTTGTCTTTAAAAACAACTTCCAGTTCTACTTGAAGGGAGACGAAGAATATGATCTTGTGTTAACCAACACCGCCATATCATGAAGCAGCCAGCACCCTAAGTACCTCTTTGTTACAATTCTGAAGCTTTGTTTGCAGCCAATTACTTGGTTTTACAATAGCACATTTTGGCTGTAAACCTATGTTAAGACTATATACCATTTAGGAAAACTAAGTCAGAGAGTGTTTTGTGTGTGTGTGTGTGTGTGTGTGTCTTTGTGTGTGTGTTTTTAAGTATAATCACTTCAGTGCAGAGAAAAGAGGAATGTCAATGTCAAAAGGAAATCCAAGAAGGCAGCTATTAACTTCCAAGTGGTTGTAATGAAAGAAAAAACCAATAAAAGATATTTAGCCCCTCAATTTTAACATGACCTTCCAGGAGAGGAAAAGCCTTGAACAGGACTTTTCCAAATAAACATGTCTCGTTTTAGGCCTCCGAATTAGGTTAGTTCCAAGTCTATCGCTTCCTCCCCCTCCCTCCGTCTTTCTTAAAAACAGCTACTCCGCTACTACCGCCAAGTACGAGAGAGAGAGAGAGACTCTCACCCGACGCCAAGGCGGATTTACCGTCCTTCACCAGCACGCAACTAATCGCGTCACAACACCGTCCCGGCCAGTATTCGCTCCTCCAACTTCGTCAGGACATTTGCTGACCCTGCGCGAAGCAGCCCGGCGGAGGTTGTTGTTCCTTCGCCCGCCTCGCTCACTTTCTCTCCGGTTCGCTTCTCTTCTCCGGCCGAGCCTTGCCGCTGACTCCCGGACCGACACCTCTGCAGGGTGTATCGCGAGAGCAAACCAGGCCGGTCCCCCCACTTCCCCGCCCCGAGTCGGCTATGGATCCGCCGCTCTCGGGCGGCAAGAAGCCGGAGGGGCAGAAGGCTCAAGCAAGGTCCGGACGCGCGCTTTTCGCCCTTAAGCAAGGAAGGACGGGTGATGTAAGCAGGCGCCGTCCCAGCTTCATTAGGATGCCTGCAATTGCACCAGACAGCCGGGAAAGCCCGGACCCGGCACGGCCAAGCCAATTGCTGCTTGCGCGCTGCCAGGCGGTCCTTTGCTCCTCGGGAGAGTTGGCAGACGCGAGCCGGAGCGCGACGCTCTTAAAAGAACTTAACTCCCCCAAGGACAAGAAACAACGGCCGGATGCATCAAAAGAAACTGGATAGCCTCGTCACTCAGTAACCCAGTACGGAGAGAAATATTTCTGCCGGGTCCTAAAGGATATAATATACAGCCATAGCAAACCGCATGGAAGCACCTGCGTTCTGGAGAAGAATTTCCCAGGTCTCCTTTTTAAAGGGACCCGAAGTCATTTGCTTGGGAGCGCCAGAGTTCTTCTCTCCCCTATTGCTTTGCAGTGGACAGGAAGCCGACTGAAACAACTTATTTCTGAATATGATCATAAGAGGATCAGTCACCTGGTGAAGATATTTAATAATCGTTGAATAAACGATAGGTTATTTGAAGGTTAAGAGCTGGCCACATCAGCACCATATTACGGAACTCTAGAATAATCACAATACAGGTATAAGATGTTTCCCAAGGCTGGCATCTTTAAAAGCCATGGGCTTCAACTCCCAGAGTTCCCCAGCTAAGAATTTTTTTAAAATAAAATATTACTTTTAAAATATATCTTTTAAAGATAATTTTACAAGAATGTATGTGTATACATATATGGGAGATTTTATATATATACACACACACACATATATACACCAGGGGTGAAATCCAAAATTTTTCCCTACCGATTCTGTGGGCATGGCTTGGTGGGCTGGGGAAGGATACTGCAAAATCTCCATTCCCACCCCACTTCAGGGGAAGGATACTGCAAAATCTCCATTCCCTCGCCTCCTGGGAGAAGGATATTGCAAAATCTCCATTCCCACCTCATTCGGGCCAGCCAGAAGTGGTATTTCCCAGTTCTCCGAACTACTCAAAATTTCCGCTACCGGTTCTCCACAACCTGTTAGAACCTGCTGGATTTCACCCTTGACATACACATACATACACATACACATACACACACACACACAAACATATACAGGTAGTCCTTGAGTTATGGCCACAATTGAGCCCAAAATTTATGTTGCTAAGTGAAACGTGTTAAGTGAGTTTTGCCTCATTTTACAACCTTGCCACAGTTGTTAAGTGAATTACTGCAGTTGTTAAGTGAATCTGGCTTCCCCATTGCCTTTGCTTGTCAGAAGTATCACAAAAGCTGATCACATGACTCTGGGACACTGTAACAACTGTCATAAATATGAAGTTGCCAAACATTTGAATTTTGTGACCATGGGAATGCTGCAATGGTTGTAAGTGTGCAAAACTGTCATAAGGCATTTTTTTACAGTGCCGTTGTAACTATGAACTGTCACTAAATGAACTGTTTTGTCAAGGATTAGATGATAGATGATAAGAGACATATATACATACGGCAACCTGTTCACACCTATGATGGTTGCCAAACACCCTGTGACTATCTGATCATCATTTGCAATCTTCTCTGCCAGCTGCTCCAGAAAGTCAATGGATTGTGCTCAGAAGTGAATTCCTCTGCTGGGGTACTGAAATGAAGCAAGGGTCCTAAAAAGCCAAGCTTCATTTCTCTACCCCATTGAAGGAATCCCCTTGTATGCATGTGGGGTGATGAGGGTGGTAGAGAGAACTCCTGTGCTGGGCTGGAGAAATGAAGCCAGAATCCTGAAGATCTGAACTTCATTTTTCCAGTCCAGTGCAGGAATTTTCTTTCCCACATGGAGGGGAGAGGAAATCCTACATCGGGTTGGAAAAACAAAGCAAGGATTGTGAAGATCCAAGATTCATTCCACCAGCCTGGTGAAGGAATTCACTTCTATGCATGGAGAAGAAGGAACTCCTGCACTGAGCTGGAGAAACAAAATGAGGATCCTGAAAATTCAAGCACTGTTCCTGCATCCCACCACAGGAGTCCCCTTCTGAGCATGGAGGGAAGCTGCCTGCCCTCTTGTGGCAGGCAGATGTTTTACTCTGTCCACTTAACTACTGTAATTGGGAGGTGTGGGCTCTGTCCACTTAATGACCGTTTTGCTCAAACCCAACATTTCAGTCCCAATTGTAGCCACAAGTGGAGGACATTTGTAATTCTTTATTCCATTTATCTCTTAATTTTTGCATATCAAATTGACTTATAAATAACAAATATATATATATATATATATATATATATATATATACACACACACACACACACACACACACACACACACACACACACACACATGATTTTAACTACCGTAGTTCTAATATCTTGGGTGTCAGTAGCTGAAAATGCTGGTGGCCCAAACAGTGTCATTAACAATTGTCTGCAATTGTCAGTGAACACATACACATTTTGTATTGGGGATTGAACACAATAATTGACACACATTCCCAGATAGATTCATTGGATTACATATCAGACCCCATGAATATATATGGTGTTGCTTGAAAAACTAATTACTCTCCTTTGTTGGATTTAGAAGTTGCTCAAATAACACTTAGATTGCTTAGGAAAACAGGCATAATGAGACAAAACTTAGTTCTGCGCAATCCTAATTTTTTCATCAAGACAATTCCATTAAATTCAATTAATTTACTTTATAGTGAATGATTTTGGAATTGTAATCATTACAAAATTCATTATTTTTGTTGCATGCTATTTTTCTCTCTAGTATTTTTAAAATTCATTTTCTGAGATAATAAAATCTTATCTAGCATTTCCCTTTTTTTTAAAAAAAAAAAAAGGTACTAACATCAAGTCAGGGTCAAGAATAAGGGCTTTGCTATGGAAAAACATCAAGGGAAAGTGCCCAGGTATATCCGATTTATACATTAATGGGCATGAATAGCAAGAGCTGTCTTAATTACACATTTTAAAATGGATGTTAACTACATCTATATTTAGTCTGTCCTTTAGCATATGCAATCCTACAAAACATTATACAGAAATACGAAACATGAGAATTTGCCCAATTTTTTTCACCTTAATGGTAGTAGAAAACCAAAGGCACCACAATTTTAACAGATGGACATTTTCCTATAAGACCAGTTGTAGTTAAAGGCAGCTACCTTGATATGATCAGGCTGACAATGGCAAGGCTAATGCAAAGCAAAGATCCAATATATCACCGGGAATTCAAGATAAAAAAATGACACCAGCAAATGGTCAAGATGACAAGAATAGAGCGGCAGGACAGTGTACAAGAGTAGGAGAAACCTACATAAGCATTAGATTACGTTTACACTATTGATCTTATTTTACTTTGGAGGCACAGCATAACTGACTTCACTTATTTGTGAATCCACAAGTAAAACAAAGATAAAATAAACTGCAGGCTGGAAGATATATCATCCCCACAGTCTTAAACAGCAGACTTTACAAAATGATAGCATAATTACTCCCCTTTAGTCCAGTAATTAACTTCCAACTCCATTGACAGTAGGATAATGTAGGTACATTCTGTTCTCCATACATTCGTTCTGCTTTCATTTTCATTTGCCTTCAGCAACTCTACAGAACCTATTTTCCCTCCTCTAACCATACAGCCTTGACATAATCTAAACAAAGACTTCATTAGTATACAGTCTTAACATTTATTTCCAACAGGAAATTCAAGCCTTGGAATTATATGCATAATACCTAACCGAAAATATGCTTGCTGCAGTTTGATGATACATGATTTACAGTGTAGACTTACCATACATATTTATACAGCATCTACTGTGCCTTCTCTGAGGTGCTGCCTGATCTATGGAACAACCTCTGCCTTGAAATTTAGACGGTCCCAACCTTCTTGGCCTCTCAAAGGCTGTTAAACTTGTTTTTCTCCTAGGCATTAGGACTAGCAAGTTGGTTTTCTGGTTTTTTTTCTTTTTGTTTTGGATTGTTTCAATAGTTTATGGAGGATTTAATCCTGTTTTTCTATGGATTGTTTGCTGCCCAGATTAATGTATTTAAAATGGGCAACTATATATTGTTATTTATTTGCGATTATGTATAAATTATTCTGGCTCATCACATACAAACCTTTCCCTAATTTGCTTTTAACAGGATATCTATTATATTTTCCCTACTGCAGCTTTTCTGGACATACAATGAGTTCACTGTATAAAACTGCATTGTCATGTGGTCAACAGTGCAATTTGCAGTGAATGCAAGCTTTCTCATTTCCACATCCTAATTATTCAAATAAAATCAAAGCTGAACATGCAACTATTACATGATGATGAATTCAGTTATTACCTTAAAAGCAAACCATATCCACTAAAACTAAGCTTATAAAAAATAATAAAACCCACCTTTATCTAAATCTATTATTTATAAGGTTATGTGCATTTTATTACTGTATCTCAAAAAGTATGTAATAATTAGACCAAGAAAAGCTCAGCAAAATCAACCAAAATTATCAGTGAACTATTAATTTCCTATGAGGAATTGCAAATATTTAGGACTATTTAGAACAAGAAAATA